GGGTGTGGTTATAAAATTAATCCTAAAATCCTATAGCAAAATTATGCATGGGTCAACTTATATTTAAACTTGAGGGATTAGTCTTTGTCTTAAAATACTATTGAGAACTTGGTCAATATTTTTGTTATTTATTAATTTGATATCCTATCTTTATTGATATTTATAAAGAAGGGCTATTGGTTCACACATGCCTCTCTTTAAAATATTAATTGAACACAAGACACCATAAAAAAACATATAACATATAAAGATTTATAAAATTAAAAAAATTCCTATTATTTTTTTTTTGCGATTCACTAAAAATAAACAAATAATTTACACAAGTTCCTAAAAACATTATCTCAAATTATCCCTGCTTTATCCGAGTTTTTCTAATAATTAGATTGAAATTATAATGATTTCTAAGATTACTCTGGCAATAAATATTTGGATTCTTAAGATTATTTTATGTATATTTCAAAATCATATATATTTTTCTAATTAAGTTAAATTCTAATGTAAGTATCATAAGATTGATGTTTTAGCGTGAGATTATGTTTAATTATATCAATATGTGAAGACATTATGTCTTATCTAAATGTGGCATTTCATTTTACTGCTTCATGTTGTAGGGTTTAACTCAGTGTACTCTTTAGTTATTACAAAATCTCAAAAAAAAAGATTATAATAAAATGTTAATGTTAGATGACATTGATGGCTAGCAAAATCTTTGCAGTATCTAGATTGAAGATATATGTCTGGTGTTATGATCATACTATGAGCATCAACTATGTTTATATCCTTTTTAATTTGTTTAAAATATTATATAAAAGGAGGGATTTACAAAGGAGAGATTGATAGTTAAACTATTTAAAATTGATGGTGAAATTTTGAAATAAAAACTATGCATGCACCCATTCGACAAGCTGACTTTCCCTCCCTCTTTCTATCATATATTATTAACAAATATAGAGGAATATTTTAAAAGATAGTTTGAATGTTAAAATATCTAATTCTAAATTTGAAATTTTAAAATAGAAGTCATTCACCCACTTATTTTGAAATTATTTTTAGTTTCAACTATTTGAAGAAAAAAATTCTAGTTCAGATTATCTAATTTTCAATAATCTATATGCTATAAGTCAAGAGTATAAGCATTTGTATGCTCGTATCTATAACAAATAGAAAAAAGAAGTAACTATTCAAAAAACATTTATGTTCAATTCAATTTAGAAACACATGCATATGATTAAAGAAGGAACCCGTATAGACCAAACAAATCAAACAAAAAAATAGACACCTAGTCTTTCAAGCTAGTAATGAGGGTTTAGTTCATGCTGTAGGATCGCTGTAATGGCACTCAAACACTAGAAAGGGGGTTGAATAGTGTTTATGAAATCTAATGCGGAAACTTTAAATTTCAATAAAATAATATCACAAAGAGTAAGAAAGATCAAACCAATGTGTAGACAATCACAGAAAATTGCATACGCAAACACAAGGATTTATACTGGTTCGGTCCTCCAGACCTACATCCAGTCCCCAAGCCTCGCTTGAGATTTCTCCACTATTTCCACTTGCAAAACCGCAAGCACTTGCAACCCGCAAGCAAACCGTACAACCTTGACAATCTTCAATTGCCAATGCCACAACAATCTCTTCTTTCAAGAGATTATCAAACTGAAACAAAATGGTACAACTTTCTCTTCCTATAAGCCTTGATGTGTAGATGTGAGTGACTTACAATAGGCTATAGGAATGGTTTTTGTTCTAGAGTAATGGAGTTTTAATCAAGAACAAAACTGAAATTTTCATGCAGTTTTTCTCTTCAAAATGATCTTAAGAAGTCAAGAAAAACTCAAGTTTATGTAAAGGAATTGATTGATAAAATTTCAGAACTTAACACCTATTTATAGGTATAATTTTCGTTCAAAAATATTCAAAAATAACTGCCAAAAACGTTCACAAAACGTTCATATTCATTTGAAAAATATAGCTGTTGGAAGCACTGTCTGGTCGACCAGATTGAGGCCTGGTCGACCAGACAGACTTTTTGGAAAATGTCTGTCCGAGTCTGGAGCCTCTGGTCGACCAGGTACATATCTGGTCGACCAGACAGAGTTTTTTCTGACTCTATTTCTGGTTTAGTTATATCTGGTCGACCAGATATAACTTTGGTCGGCCAGAACCTATGTTATATACATAGTTTCAATAAATTAATAAGTTATTCATTTGTTGATTATACTTAGGATTATACTTAGAATATTTTCTATGATCTTCTAAGTGATTAGTGTGTGTTGTGTGTGTGATCAAGGCTTGTACAAAGTTTCTAAAAGAAAAGATAAAATTATATCACTCTTATAAATTATATTTTCTTCTTGAAGCGCGAAGTGACTTGATTAACTTCATCTTTTTGATCTTTGAAATCTTGTCTTTGATATAGCCTTAATATCTTGATTGTTGCTTTGAGATATATATCTTGAATCTGCAGTAAAATATGTTAGATAAACAATAATTTGTTATCATCAAAATACAAGAGATATTATAACATCAACCATGTTCCCAACACATGCTATCTGTTTCATATTACTTAGTCTTTATGTAAAACTCAGTGGTGTGAGCACGGGCAAAATACTTGTTGCATATAATTTCAAAACATGCAGATTGTAGCATAAAGCACTGCTATGGGTTATTGGCTTCGCGTGTACTGCACAAAGAGGAAGATGGAGAAATGCTTGTTTTGCGAAAAGAAGATGGACTCTAGGCGCCTTAAATACTGTAAAGCTTTATTCTTTTTCGTCTCTGTAGCTATTTTTGTAAAAATAATCGGAAAAAATGGCATTTTTTCTAATTTTCTTTTGAATGAGAGCAGCAATTGCGGCCTGCTTTCCTTTGTCTTGGGCTTCATGGGCCAATAATCCGCGCAGCGTTTTGTGGGTTTTTAGGCCAGGCTGAAAACCCAACTAAGTCGCAGGTTTTATAATCTTTGCGGGCTAATTATTAACGGGTTGGACCCGTTTCTCCTCGCTCTCGCTCGTAAGCTAGGCTCGGCCGCGATCGCTTAAAACCCTAGTCGCCGTGAGAGACGACTCCGACGATGAGGACGACGAAGGCGAACTTCAAGGAGGTACCTTTTTGTTCTTCTCACTTATTAATTTTATTCCTTTTTCTTCACCTTTATTATTTTTTTTCTCAAATTTCTCTTTTTTTTTGGGTTTTTTTTCGCATTTTGAAATAAAAGGGGTTCATATTGGGTTTTTATTTATCTTGAAGCATTCCCCTCTCTGTCCTAATAAGCTGAGGTAATCGGAGCAAAGATATCTGGAGAGATTGTAAACGGAGAAGAAATTTTGTTTCTCAGGGTTTTTTTTATGATAATAAGCGAATGTTTGAAGCATCTGTATGATTGAAACCCAACAGTAACGTTCGTCATAATACTGATTTCTTGTTACCAGGCACTAGAGTACTTGGCATCAATCGATCCAATCGAACTATGCAATGAAGCGAAAGTTGAACATTGTCGAGCTACCAGAGATCTGAGGAGCTGCGGTCGCCCCGTTCAACATGTTCTTAGCTCCTGCGGGCATGCATCTTTGTGTGCCGAGTGCAGTCAGAGATGTGATTCTTGTCCTATTTGTAGGGTTTCCATTCCAAATAGTGGGAATAGGATCAAGCTTCGCCTTTATTATAAATGCATTGAGGCAGGATTGCTTTCTAAAAGATTCGATGAAAGGTTCCATGAGAAGGATGATGGTGGTGGACATGCGATTGCCGATATACAGCGCTTGTATCGTTTGTTTGATGTTGCGCTAGAAAATAATCTGGTTTCTTTGGTTTGCCATTGTATCCTTTCATTTTTGTTTTTAATGCTAACTTTGATGCAAGCTTTATGCGTACTAGTCTGCTCAATGTTACCTTAATAAGTTCAATAGATGTTACGGATGTTTGCATGGATGAGAATGCTGTATCGAGCGATCCTGTACTTGCTTTTCTTTTGGATGAAGTTGTGGTGAAGGATTGGTGCAGGCAAACATTTATTGGCATCATTCACGATCTTCGAGAAAAATGTATCCAGCTAGAGTTGAAATGCTTTTATATGCAGTGGGTCTTTCATATGTTCTTTTTATCTTACTTCCAGTGAAAAATTAAATTTTTTTAAAAACTTTGTTGTAGATTGTCTTGGAGCAGAAGAAATGAAATCAAAGATATCTTTGTTCCAGAAGATGACATTAAAGCTAACAGGAATTTCAAATGTTCTCGAGGTTATAGTTTCTTCCCTTAATGGAACCTTTTTTGGGCCGATGCATGACATGCATTACCTGCTGGAGAGCATATTGAAGGCTAAGCAGGTTAGATTTCTTATGCTTCACCAGAAGGCTTTAACCATATATATTGGTGAATGTATTTTTAACATTTCATATACTGCACTAGTGTGCTATCCGTCCTTTCTGTAATAGAAATAAGTAAATTTGTGTATGCATTATCAGTGTTTTCAATGCGCGAGGCGCAATGCGGGGCGCAAAGTCAGTTTACGCGTACATGCGCAAGGCGCAATGCGATGCGCGCGCCCGAGCGAAGCGAGGCGCACTCCAGATCACAAAATTTTTGAAGATATACAAGATGCATGAATAATAAATATTTGTGAAATTTCACATAAAAAATGTCAATGACTCAAGATAAAATATATACTACCGGCTCACAAGATAAAATTTCACATGTACGTTAATTTTCATTCAAGCTTGCAAATTATTCAAATTTTCATACTAATATATTGCATCACTAACTATATTGCTAAATTTTATTTTCCTCTTTACAGGTTACAAATGACGAATCAAGTTTCAAATTTCAACTTTCAAGACAACTAGTAGCACAACACCTAGCTCAAATAGCAAGAATCAATACTCGCAGTCTCACACTAAAAATCAAATTGTAGCACATTTTCAACAATTATGACTGATATGTATTAATAAGAACGATGTTGTTGCAATTTCATAATTTCATGACTGCGCATTTCAACCGAACTTTAATCAATCAATCAAGTGATCAACCTCGTCTTAAGACTCTTAAGAGTCAACAGAACTTTAATAATTGCCTAATATCAATTAGCCTATTATTAATCATTAGCCTATTATTAATCAATTAGCCTATTATTAATCAAGTGATCAAACATCAATTAATCATTAGCCTATTATTAATCTAAATAGTCCACAAACCAAACTTAAATAATTTCCTATTATCAATTAAAAAACAGTTTACTGATTTACTATTCCCGTGAGGAGAAGAAGAGGAGAAGAAAAAAAGAAAACACTGTAGCAGGTAAAGAAAATAAAAAAACATTAACAGAAATATTCTGGTGAGAAGAGGAGAAAAAAAGAAAACACTGTAGCAGGTTAAAAAAAATTAAACAACCGAAGATAAAGGAGAACGGAAGACCCAAGTAAAAAAAAGAAAAGAAGAAAAGGAGCTGTCGGAGAACACGAAGCCGAAGAAAAAGATCGAAGAAAAGAAAAGAAAAAAAGGCAAAAAAAGGAAAAAATTACCTGCTGCAGTTTCGTTCTCACCGCCGGCTGCTCGTCGGGGCTTCTCGTCGCTCTCAAGAAGTCGCCGAACTGGAACTGTCGGAGAACACGAAGTTGAAGGGGAGAGACCGAACACGAAGTTGAAGGGGAGAGGAACTGTCGGAGAAGCCAATCACGCTGAAAAGCCCTAATTCTTTGCTTGAGTCGGGTTAGATCTGTTTTCACCCTTTTGGGTTTAAGCTTGAGTCGGGTTTCTACCCGATAGCCCGCGATTTCTTACGCCCATCGCCCTGAAAACAGAGGCGCTCACCTTCCCTACGCAGGCGAAGCGCTCTCGGGCGCTCTCGGGCGAGCGCTTGGCGCAAGTGTAGCGCCCCGCACCTCATGCGGGGCGCTATTTCACTGCGCCGCAGCGCCTTGCGCCCGAGGCGATCGCCCGAGAGCGCCTTTAAAAACACTGTGCATTATACCTTTTATATGTTTTGGTTAATTTAAATGTTAATATTGGTAAATGAACACATTGCATTAAAGCCAATAAAACTTGTTCGAGAGTGAAACCTGTTAGTCCAGTTTTTGAATAAAACATAAAACTAACTGTGTTCAAAAGTGTGGTTTTTGTGAATGAGTAGTGCGTACCTTAGGTCTTCAGTTGCATCCACAAAAATTTCATTTGTGTTGGTATATTTTATGTTACTAGTTGAGATGCACGTGTAATGCACGTGGTTAAATATCATTATTACTTAACTTGATAAAAATAGAATAAAAAGAAAAAAAGAAAAAAAAAAAAAGTTTTTTGTGGGATTGATTGTCAACTTAATAATCTCTCTCAAATAAAATATTGTAATTATTTTCTTCAACCCAGATTGTGGTCACGTGATCTACTATTTGTGAGTTATAAATACATTAATCTAGTACAACATCTCTGTTTATTAGTATCTTAAATTATTCAAAAGATGGGTGATCATTCAATTCGTAAAGAAATTTTGCATATGAATTTACTTGCAATATGTCCATTAAACTTTTAGTTATGGTTTGAGTCGTTTGACTCATATTCACATTAATTTGTAGTTGTAGTTTTACTCATATTTACATTATCTAATATTCTCATTCAATTTTATAGCTCATTCTTCGTACCATAGAAGTAAATTTGAAAGTATAAAGAATTATTTTCTTACGAAATTAGAGCAGGGAAATTATGATATATTTCATTATGTGCTCTAAATATAAAAATTTCTTTTTTCTTTGATGCAAGGTCCTTATCAAATCTTGCTCCAAACGATGTGCATGAAAAATGCTATTATAACTCACTTGCCTAAGCTAATTGTATTGTTTAGTGCATATAACTCATCTAGAATATCTGCATTCGCTAAGTGGATTTTGTTGTTATGAGAACAAAATGTTAGGCTTGCATTTAAACTTTTTGGCTATGTAAAAGACACAAGAATTTGGAGTGCACAGCTTATATATCGTAAAGAACATACGGGTTTATGAATAATTTTCCCTAATAACGATATTATTACGACGATATCACTATTTAGTATTAAATCAATTTTATTATATAAGATTACATAACCCTTTTTAATAAATTATAAAGTATATATATAGAAGCCTCGATACTTATAGCTAGTAGTTGGGCTCCATAAAATAAGTTAACTTTACATTGTAGTTGCTAATGGTAGTACTGTTAGTAATGTCATTACTTTTCCTCTTTATCTTATTATTCACGTTTTTCTGATGTAAGTTCTCTTTTGCTAACCACTCAATTAACTATATTTAGTTTTTATAATATTAGAATTTAGAATATTCTCTTCTGAAAAGTGTTGACATGATTTTGTTTAAAAATATATACACATAGTAGCAATAATATATATACTTCAGTTCAACTTAAACATTGACTTGGAGCCATTTAGAATGATGTCATTTCTACGCTAGAATAGTGATATAGTGATTACACAATCCAAAAATCAAAGAAATTTTTACAAAGGAAAAGTACTTAAAATATCAAATTAATAATTAATTTATAAAATATACATCAACAATACAGATAGCTATAGAAAATAAGGTATATATCTTCATGAATATTCCATAGTGAGTGACCAATTATATTCATCTAAATTTAAGCATAAATAATTATTATTTTAGTTACTAATTTGATACGCGTAACTACGGAATAAATCTCAAGCAAAAAATAGGAACTGAAGTTGTATTATCCTGTAGGTAAATAAATAAATAAATATTATTAGAGCTCCTCTTTATATTAAACTTAAAAGTAATAATTTAAATTATTAATCGTCAAATATTAGTTCATGTGAGAAAGTAAAGTAATGTATGGTCTATATACTTATACAGTTAATCAATCAAATATATTAAAATTATGATGACCACAATCAAAATTATATAGTGAGTTCACATCAACTATAATTTATAAAATAAAATACATTAAAGACAAGATCCTTTTAACCACTATATAGATTGTCTAAATTTTTTTGCATATATAAACTATACTGCCTAGGAAAAGTGATGGACGCACTTAATTATGGCCTAATAATCTTAAGAATGACTTACACTTTAATATCATCATTAATTGATGTATCTATGTATTACACTGAAAATACAATAAAAATTTAGAAAACTACAAGAGACAAACTCAAATTTTTTTAAAAATTATAAAAAAACCCTAAAATTTTATAATTTACAAATACACAAAACTATTAAACATTACATTGAAATCAAGGAATTATAAAAAATCATTAAAAATTTTAAACTTTGGAGGGGTAATTTGTAATGCACTAAACTTTAAGGGTGTTTTTTTTATAAATTTTATAACTTAATAGATTTTTAATTAGTTATGTTCTTTTCAAGAAAGTTATGGGTAATATTGATCATGAATTTTTTTCCTAAATCTATACTTTTAAAGGGAGTATGATATTTTTAGCAAATTTTTAATTTTCTAGGGGTTTTTAGTAATTTGTATATTCATTTTAGTGTCTTTAGGCTAGAAATTCTCATTGTGTTTTTTTTTTGTAAATTATGAATTTTAGGGGTTTTTTGTAATTTTTTAAACTTATACGTCTTTTCTACATATTGTAAATTATTTATAGATTATTTATAATTCCTATGTTTTCAATTTACTAATGAGTTTGAAATTCTCAGGGTATTTTTTATAAAATTTAAATTTTGAGGGTTTATGTATAAATTTTGAAACTTTAAGGATGTTTTCTTAAATTATAAATTATGTATGGAATATTTATAATCCTTATATTTTTAATGTACTGTTAAGTTGGAAATTATCAAGATTTTTATAAATTTTACAATTTTGATGGTTTTATTTACAATTTGTAAAAAGTTCAGAGTGTATATTGCAAATTCCATAAATTTGGTTTTTTTTGTGTTATTTGTCGGTTTTTAATGTGTTTAAATGTTTGAAATATTTAAGGTGTTTTTTATAAATTTTAAATTTTTAGGAGTGTTTCTGTAATTTTTAAAACTTACAATATATTTTCTCAAAAGTAAAAAAATGTTCAGTTGCTAGCTAGCATATGTTTTTCTGATTTCTTACTGAATTGAAATAAGCAAAGTTTATAATTTTTAAAATGTTTTAATAAAAATTTGAATTTGTAAGGGTGTTTTTGCAATTTAAAAAACTTGGAGGATATTTTTTTCAAAGTTTAAATACTTTTAGGTGGCTAGCACATGTGTTTTAGATTTTGCTACGAACTGAAATAAGTAAAGGATTTGAAATTTATCAAACATATCTCATTTATCCAATAACATGCTAAGTCTCATTATGAATAGGATAAATCATTTAATTATTAATTCAAAGAATATAGGATACTTAGTATAGATTAGGATAACGATGTAATATTCAAAAAAGTTAAGGATAATATTGACTATGGAAAGATTTTTCTGAACTCGTACTTTTAAAGGGAGTATGATGATAATGTTTACACTTTTTAGGCATGTTTGGATGCCTCAATCCTAATGATTCGAGCACAGATTCCATAATCCTGAAGGATCTAGGAAGCCAGATAATGCTCTGTGTGGCTTATCAATACAGACTGAAATAGTAAAGAACTAAGGATTCAAATCCCAAAAATGGCCCAATCTTTTTGGATCTGGCAAAAGTGGTTGTTACCAAATTTTGTAATCCAAAGGATTTCTCTTGTTTGCAAGAGTACATTTTGGATGAAACCAGGTGACTTATGATGGAGTTAATGGGTACTCAAAACTCACTTTTGTGTTGTAATCTAAAGGATTGCTTCACTTAAACATGTGTGATCCAGTGGAGTTTTAATTGAAAAGAAATCCAATCGATATTCACTCTTAAAAATTTCAACGAGCACTGATCCGCTTGCTGGTACTTTATAGGATGTTAAGATTTTATGATATTCTACTGATTGTAAAATTAGTTCTATTTTCGCAATTCTTAGTCTTTCCTGGGCAACTATATAGACAAACATGTTTTGAATTATATCAGTAATTAGAATTAGATTATATTACTGTAATGTCATGAAGTATTGTCTTTATAATTTATGTTTACACTTTTTCAGCACCTGGAGATAATGATTTGGTGTGTTCGACATCAATTCTTAGAGAACATCCCGTCTCAGCATGCTAATTACACCTCATGGATTTTCCATTTCCATGAAAAGAAAGCAGCTGCAGTGAAGCGAGCGTGGCCTGACATTTCAAGTTATCCAGAAGTTTCTTCTGGGTCAAAATCAGCACTCTTTATTGAAGAAGCACTATCAAATCTAGGTATAGGACACAACATAGCTGAGGGAATGGAAGAAGTTGACATTTTTTGCCTGCGAGATGAAAATTCACCACTTTTACAGTCCGAGATAGATGAGGCCAATAAGAACGAGGAACTCTATCCTTTTGAAAATGTGCGAGCTGCTACTGATACTCTCTTTCTACACGGAACATCAGATATGGTGGTTGCAAAACGTGCAATAGTATCCTTATTTGTATTGTTACATTTCCTTCTACTTGACATTTATTATGTTTTCTACTTTCTATAGGTTGTTTGTTTCCTTAATATTTGAAGTTTTTATATTATCTATTTGACCGACATTGGAGTACACCTGATACGGAATGGAGACATTTAATCAATGATTTTGCTGCGTCATTCGATATAAGCAGACACTCAGTACTAGAATCTTTAACATATTACCTTCTGGATGATCATTCAGACCAGGCACTTCAGGTAGTTATATTCTGCACTATTTCTTGTTCCATTTTGTTGGTTTATGGAGATAACCTCTTTTCCACTGGCAGCTGCGTGTGATATGAAATTTACTTGCATTTTGCAATTCGGATGTTAGACATTCATTGCGCTTTTAGATTAGTACGAAGCCACATGGTTGTCTGGTTGAATTTTTAAAGCAAACGTTCTCTTTTATTGAAAATTTTGTTAATACTTGTGGGCAAAGTTTTCTTAAGGTGGTGACAATTGGTTAGTTCATGATTAGTAAAGAGTAGTGTTTAGGTTTTATACATCTCATTACGTGTCATGCTTCAAATTGCAGCTTTGGAGGTTTTAGAAATACATGTTTCATATACTCTTACGTATCTCCTATGTAAGTTAACTTCTTTTTTCCCTTTCTGAATGTCAAGTTTTTGTGTATAATTGGTGCTGAAAACGTGACTTGGACTTAGCCTGAACCAACCCAGTCTTCAGATTGAAGTTGTTAAGATCCAAAGCCTAGTCCTGTTGATGGAGTTGACCTTCAATGGGCTTTACCTTGGTGCCTTTTCAGTTTCTTTTCGGAGCTGGGCTCACACTGTCCAAGCTTAAGTACAACAGGCCAAGCAAAAGTCTTCTACGATATTTTAGAAACCTGTTGGGTATAGAGTTTTCCCCCCAGTGTCAGCAAAACCTAGGTGGCCAGTCTTAATTTCTTTTTCTTCTTAAAAGTTTCATTAGTAATCTCTGGCCTACTCATCTCTCAGATTGCAAAATTTATCTCCCACGCCATCTCTGTACTAGGTCGCAATTGGTAATATGTAATCAAGGATACTGTATGATACAGGTATCTTGAAATGACTCATCCTGGTAATTTACAGATACATAGATACGTATGGAAAGAAATTATAAGTGTGAATTGACATATTTCTAATATGTATAAGTAAGATTTTTATGGTTTAAGAAAGCACGACAATTTAGCTAATGTAAAAGATATCATGTTAAATAATTTAATAGTTACTACATCAACTATAATTCTTCATTGAGAGAAAAGGGATAGATTATGTTATTGCATCTATAAGTGAAATATAACTGTCATCTTATTATTAGACTTTTAACTTCTTAATCTCGGATGTTATCTTTAATATCCTTGGAACACATTACAAATTTTCGGATACACCGTTAAAGGTATTTGGCAGGTAATCATTAAGTATCTAAGTATTTGGGGGTTGGATATCAATTGGATACAGGCAGATTGGCTTTATTGCTGTATGCATGGGACAGTCTTAAACCAAATTGAACTACTACTAAAGCGCTTCTCATTAATCATTATCATCAATATTTAACACCTTTTCATATTGAGCTGGTATCTTTATAACTTAAAAAGTAACTCTCCCGTGAGTAGACTCCATTAAAAGACCAACTAAAATTTTCATTGCTCGGTAACTAATCATCAGTTTTTATAGTCTTCCTGGCCACATAAACACTACAATGGAAGTTCTAGCCAATAGCAAATGTTGACAGGTGAGGAAAACTCAAGCTCATGAAACTAGGAATATTACAGGCCAAAGATTTGCAATGAGAATTATTTTTTTCTCATTGAAGAGCTAAAGGCAAAAAAAAAAAAATTCAAATTTTGTCAAATATTGACAGAACTTTACGTATTATATAGACTCTATGAGGATAAAACAGATTATCACCAAATGCCACCCTCCTAAAGTATAAGCAGTTAGGGTCATCCCAGCAAAAAATTTAGAGAATTCATGGAGCCTAATTGCTGAATCATTTAGCTTATGTATTACTCTATGGACAGTCTATTCGGATGTTTTGGGTAATAACTGAAGGATAGAAGAACACAAAATGCAGTAAACTCAAGTGTCATTGTGCCTGGAGTTGTATAGTTCGGCTCCAGTTGTTTCTCTGCCACCTATCAGCATCTACTTGCCTCCACTTGTATATAATGCTTGTATAAAAGTTTATTGCAGAATTGCAGATGAACCTTTATGAGTATGAGCTTTATGTTATTAAATACAAAACTGTTGTGAACTAATATGTTATTTTGTGAGAAATTTGGACTTTGAGATAGCCTGGAGAGCTCTTATTATTTTTGAAAATATATGTGAAGTGCTAATTTTCACCAGCTATGGTCATAAAGGAGTGTCCTGTGATTTAACCGTTCCTGAAGCTTCCGTAGTTGTTAGTGCTTATGTTCTTATTATTACTCATATGCAGTTGTCAATCTATTCTTATGATAGGAGGCCACTAATCTTCTATTAGAAATTGCTGGTCTGGAGACACATCCGAAGATAGCACAAGTTTTAATTGAACGTCAGCGTCCTGATGTTGCACTGACCGTTTTAAGATGTAGTGGGCGTGATGGCTTCTCTGCCTATCCAAAATCTGAGCATGACAGCCTCCTATGCATCAATCTGAAAGAAGCAATTACAGCTATTCGCGTCAATATTGAGTGTGGTCTGTTAACAGAATCCTTTATGTATCAAAGGGTGCACTGTTCAAAAGTGAAGGAATTAGAATTGAAAAATAAATCTTCTGAGGCATTTTCCAGCAGTTCTAGATCGAACTCTTGGATATATCATGTTGAGGTTTTGATAACTGAAATTTGCAACCTCTGTATCAGAATGAACCTGGTGGACAGAATGATTGAATTGCCTTGGAACTCCGACGAAGAAAAATTTCTCCATAAGTCTCTCTTCGCGCATGCCTGTCAAAACCCTGCTTCAATATATGGCAGTCTACTTGTGGTGTTTTATTTGCAGGTAACTCCTAGTCCCAGTTTACTTTCCCTTGTGCTGTGCCATCATTTTAATCTGCTATATTACCTAGTTTTATTATGATCCAAACAGTAATGTTACCCTCTTCTTGAATTCTGCTATTTTCTTGTGCTGCATCCATGACTTTGTTTAGAGCTCGGCAATAATACACAAGTTGCACATTTGCCAGGCTGTTTGCCATTAAATGACGTTCTTATGAGGAAGTCTACGAAGTCAAGAAACTCCTGTGTCTCCAATGATGTGGAGGCTAGTCACAAACAAGATGGCAAATTCCAAGTTACCGTGACAAATCCGGCTGAACCATTGATTAGCTGGTTGGTGGCTTTTGTAAAACCACAAATATGCTGTCTGGTTGGAACCTACCTTACTGGGTTAGTTGTAAACATAGAAGTCAGGAACATGGTACGCTATAGCGAACCGCAACTCGGGTTCAATCGTTCCGGATTATCGTGGAACACGACACGATTCACCAACTCCAGCGACCAAATTTAGAATTCAAACCCATTAAAAGTTTAAAAAATAACTCTTTAAAGAATAAACAACAAAAAACGTGGGAAATTAAGCAAATAAAGTATGCGTATTTTAATTACAACGTGATTCTCAAGGCTCTGTTATCATTACTGATATCAACTAGCATTTAAGAACCGAACGTAAAATGTACGACATTCCCTGGCATGCCATATAAGCCTACCCCCTCGTAACCAATTCCTAATGAGTGGCGTACCACACTCCAATACCCGTCCCGTGAACCGAGACGAATCGGGTTCCACGCAACTATGGTTATAAATATGGAAAAAAGACATCACAAATTATTCTTGCAGTAACGATATCATGAGGAATTATCCTTATTTCCCATTATTTTTTTGGAAAAGCTTCTTAATATTGTCTACAGGCCCATTTGTCTTTGATCAGATTTAAGCTGATGTTTTGTTTAGATCCGTTAATATCATTCTCCCGGACTGTCTTCACGTTGTTGGAAGCTTATATTACTGTAATAGAATTATTATTAGGGCTATACTGTTGAACATTAGCAGAGTGAAGTGAGCATTAACTAGGAAATAAATGATGGATTTTCTGGTAGTTAACGTCCTTTTATGCATGAGAGGTCCATCTATGAACTTTGTTTATTTATATAATTGATGGGGGAGATTGGAGAAGAACATGGAGATGTATTCGCAGTTTTCACTGATATAGAAAAGGCTTGTGATAGGACCTAGGCATATAGCATGAGGACTTGAGGGTGACAAGCTAGGGGTAATATTGATGTGATCAAGGGTTTTACAATGGAGTTTACTAGTGAGAGAGAAATTTGAGATGTACTACGTTTAGTACTGTACTATCACACCAATGGCTATTAGGACTAGATTATAGAAAATTTAAAGGTAGAAATGTGAAGAAAATCTTAAATTTTAAAAATGTTTTGAGCCTAGGATGATGCAGTCCTTAGTGTCAAAAACTTGAATGTGAAAGAAGATGTGGGCCTGATCCACATTGTTCAAGAAGCCTTACATTGATTGCTTTTATTACCATTCATGATGGTGGGATTGTGGAGAATGCTAGTCATAAAATTAAGAAAGATGGCTGAAACACAGACGTCCTACTTTAATATTACCACCAATGGAAAATGACGCAAGTTCCATTACCCCGGTTTCCTTCTCTCGTTCATAAGTAAACTAGTCAATGGTGGCAGGGTAGTAACTGATCTATCACTTCGGAACTTCAACTAAACCAACCCATTTAAGGACCCCTATGCTACACCATATATTTTTCTTCACCCCGTAGTTCACATCATTTTCTCAAGCGAGTACAGAAGATCCATTTAATCAAACATAGTTTTCTGAGATTGCTATGGGACCAGTATGTTTCCATAATGTCTGCAATTAGGCAAGAGGAAACATATCCAAGGAGTAGCTGGAACGAATGAGTACATGGATGCACAATGATATACTGCAGAATTAAATAATATGGCACCTGTAAGAAGATAGCTTCAAACTGAGACCTCAGTGAAAGAGGATTGTCCCTGACCACTCGTATTTATGAGTGCTGCAGATGGCTGTAATGGGATCGTAATTGAGAAAGCTGTTCTGGCTAAAGGTGGACTACCTGGTAGGATGGTTTGGAGGGATGAACTAAAGAAGAAAAATATTGTTATATTGTATGTTGCTAGCATGCTAGGTTTATCAACCTTCAACCCTTAGTGGAGCTTAAGTTCAAAGTAAAACTGACACAATCACTCCTAGAAAATTTGGGATCTGAAGGCTTTTGAGGTTTTGGTTCTTCTTATAGTAGGCCTGGCTAGATTATGCTCTATAAATCTCGGATGATTCTTGAAGTTGTCAATGATATGGTGTCGCCATTTCTTTTTTGGTTGCTTTAACTAACTGTTTGATTTATGTTGTGTACTGACTTGGTTTTTTGGCACTCGTGAAATAATCATCTAAGAAGACATACCATAAAACAGTTGTCTTTGTTATTCTCAGTGTAGGTTTCTTGATTAATTCTTTCAATAGTATTCTAATGGAACAATATTATGCTAAATTTATGTTTCATTTCCATGTCAGCGCTATCGGTACATAGAAGCAGATCAAGTAGACTGTAAACTTCGGAGTTTGGAGCAGAACTTTACGGAGACTGCTAATGAGGATATCAAATGCAGGATAAATTCAATAAGTCACTGGAGAACAGGATTAGTTGTAAGCTTATCCTGACTTTACTATAGTTTTATTTGAGACTTTCACATTATGTTCTCTGTAGTATCCATACCTGGGTAGTCTCCATAACTTCCCCCCTTTCTTTCTTGTGTGTCTTATCTAGATTTAAGTATTATTATGATTAGCTTGATCACATTTGGGGTTTTGCTGCTTCCAAGCTTACCCAATGTTCTGTGTTATCTAGCTTCTTTTCATTGTTATAAATGTAGTGCTTATATATAAAGAGCAGATTTGGCACATGCCACTCTACTTATGTGTTGATATGTAAGGTTTCTCCATGTGATGGCCATACATGACCATATGAGGCGTTTTTCAGACAACCTACCGCAAGGGGTAGCTATAACTTCATGTAGAAATTCGTTATACATAAATGCATGGAAGCGTTTCAAACAAATTAGTAGATTACTAGAATCTTTCAAGAGCCTTACACGGAAAATTTTGCTTATAAATTTTTACGATGAAGGCGTAGAACCTTGATAAGCTGTGACTCTAGTCTGTTGCATATCTGTTTGGATACAATTGTTTAATGATCGTTTGAGAAGCATATCATGGGACACTGATCTAACACTAGTCTTGTAAACTATAATGGCATTAATTGGATACGGAGGCCTACGCGAGAAGAGTTTATACCTTGCGAATACTATAATTCCATTACTTCTGTTTGTCGACTCAAATGATTCTTTTAGTGTTTGTTTCCAAAAGTGCTTTTCACAGAATGTAAAAGACTAGTTTCTGTAGTTTGTACCTTAAAGCATTTTAATTTTGCTTCTTTAATTTTGAACCAAATTTGAACAGGAAAAGTGCCTAGAATTGCTTCCTGAGGTGCAGATACAAGAAGCAAGGGCTGGAAGGACTGCTGATTTTGATCTATCTTCATCCCACAATGTGCCAATGCATTTTGAGTCAGATTCCGTTAGTATGCTATCAAATCATGCTACCATATTGACTTCCTCAACTGCAAAGCCATCTATATTTCTTCACGAGAGTACTAGATCCTTTCCTTTTAGAAACCCTTCACATGATGTGATGAAAAATTTTACTAGCAGCATGAATAATGCCCATTTGGAGCCAGGCAAAAGGGCATCATCCATTCTTCAGAACAGTTTTCTTTCTCCTTTGGGCGGTTCTTCCAGAATGAAGTCTGTAGTTGGTGGAGTTTCTTTGGGTCCCTACAATTGGAGCCGCTCTCCTCCAGATGGTATAACTTCTGATATCCAACGTCATCAATCTGCTGGCTTCTCACTCTCTGCTAGTTTTCAATCTAAACCACAAAGTGTGGCCCTTAGATCTCAGAATGGCAATCAGCTTCGTGCTGAAAGTGCTGTGAAACTAAAAAGTGTTGAAGATTTCCAGTCATGCAATTTGAAAATAACTACTGAAGATCACAATGATCTGATGGATACTTCACTTAGTAATGGGTTTTCAAAAAAGCCAACTCGTAATCAGCAGCCAAAAGGGTAAGTGACATTAGGATTATGCTGCATCATCCAAGTATATCTACTGCAGGTTATGGACTTAAAAAAGTTATTGACAAGTTGTCTCTTTACATTTGTAGTTCTGGATTCAAGGTGGAGATCTGATGAATCGAGTGAAGAAGATGAGCCAGAGCAGGGGGTTCACCAGCACACGAGTGGTAGAACTCTGTTCTCTGATCGAAGACCCGCAAGATTTTCCAGATCAAAGATGGGTCTGAATGATTTGTGAAACTTGAGCATGGGTTTTGTTTTTTTGGGGGCTGATTATTGTTGTAGGCTGAGAGATTGCTGCAGGTATTAGTTTCATTTTGTTGGATGGTTGTGCTATTATGTTGTTGTGGCCTCAAGTGATGTCTACAATGGAGATGAGTAAAATGTATTTATCTGAAACGAATAGGTTGATTTGTAATAATATTCAGTTTTGAAGGGTACTCTTTTCTTAGAACTTGGGATGACATCATAATTCTCAGTAGAAGCGATGGAGGTACTGTTTGATTTATGTTGTGTACTGACTTGGTTTTTTGGCACTCGTGAAATAATCATCTAAGAAGACATACCATAAAACAGTTGTCTTTGTTATTCTCAGTGTAGGTTTCTTGATTAATTCTTTCAATAGTATTCTAATGGAACAATATTATGCTAAATTTATGTTTCATTTCCATGTCAGCGCTATCGGTACATAGAAGCAGATCAAGTAGACTGTAAACTTCGGAGTTTGGAGCAGAACTTTACGGAGACTGCTAATGAGGATATCAAATGCAGGATAAATTCAATAAGTCACTGGAGAACAGGATTAGTTGTAAGCTTATCCTGACTTTACTATAGTTTTATTTGAGACTTTCACATTATGTTCTCTGTAGTATCCATACCTGGGTAGTCTCCATAACTTCCCCCCTTTCTTTCTTGTGTGTCTTATCTAGATTTAAGTATTATTATGATTAGCTTGATCACATTTGGGGTTTTGCTGCTTCCAAGCTTACCCAATGTTCTGTGTTATCTAGCTTCTTTTCATTGTTATAAATGTAGTGCTTATATATAAAGAGCAGATTTGGCACATGCCACTCTACTTATGTGTTGATATGTAAGGTTTCTCCATGTGATGGCCATACATGACCATATGAGGCGTTTTTCAGACAACCTACCGCAAGGGGTAGCTATAACTTCATGTAGAAATTCGTTATACATAAATGCATGGAAGCGTTTCAAACAAATTAGTAGATTACTAGAATCTTTCAAGAGCCTTACACGGAAAATTTTGCTTATAAATTTTTACGATGAAGGCGTAGAACCTTGATAAGCTGTGACTCTAGTCTGTTGCATATCTGTTTGGATACAATTGTTTAATGATCGTTTGAGAAGCATATCATGGGACACTGATCTAACACTAGTCTTGTAAACTATAATGGCATTAATTGGATACGGAGGCCTACGCGAGAAGAGTTTATACCTTGCGAATACTATAATTCCATTACTTCTGTTTGTCGACTCAAATGATTCTTTTAGTGTTTGTTTCCAAAAGTGCTTTTCACAGAATGTAAAAGACTAGTTTCTGTAGTTTGTACCTTAAAGCATTTTAATTTTGCTTCTTTAATTTTGAACCAAATTTGAACAGGAAAAGTGCCTAGAATTGCTTCCTGAGGTGCAGATACAAGAAGCAAGGGCTGGAAGGACTGCTGATTTTGATCTATCTTCATCCCACAATGTGCCAATGCATTTTGAGTCAGATTCCGTTAGTATGCTATCAAATCATGCTACCATATTGACTTCCTCAACTGCAAAGCCATCTATATTTCTTCACGAGAGTACTAGATCCTTTCCTTTTAGAAACCCTTCACATGATGTGATGAAAAATTTTACTAGCAGCATGAATAATGCCCATTTGGAGCCAGGCAAAAGGGCATCATCCATTCTTCAGAACAGTTTTCTTTCTCCTTTGGGCGGTTCTTCCAGAATGAAGTCTGTAGTTGGTGGAGTTTCTTTGGGTCCCTACAATTGGAGCCGCTCTCCTCCAGATGGTATAACTTCTGATATCCAACGTCATCAATCTGCTGGCTTCTCACTCTCTGCTAGTTTTCAATCTAAACCACAAAGTGTGGCCCTTAGATCTCAGAATGGCAATCAGCTTCGTGCTGAAAGTGCTGTGAAACTAAAAAGTGTTGAAGATTTCCAGTCATGCAATTTGAAAATAACTACTGAAGATCACAATGATCTGATGGATACTTCACTTAGTAATGGGTTTTCAAAAAAGCCAACTCGTAATCAGCAGCCAAAAGGGTAAGTGACATTAGGATTATGCTGCATCATCCAAGTATATCTACTGCAGGTTATGGACTTAAAAAAGTTATTGACAAGTTGTCTCTTTACATTTGTAGTTCGGTTCAAGGTGGAGATCTGATGAATCGAGTGAAGAAGATGAGCCAGAGCAGGGGGTTCACCAGCACACGAGTGGTAGAACTCTGTTCTCTGATCGAAGACCCGCAAGATTTTCCAGATCAAAGATGGGTCTGAATGATTTGTGAAACTTGAGCATGGGTTTTGTTTTTTTGGGGGCTGATTATTGTTGTAGGCTGAGAGATTGCTGCAGGTATTAGTTTCATTTTGTTGGATGGTTGTGCTATTATGTTGTTGTGGCCTCAAGTGATGTCTACAATGGAGATGAGTAAAATGTATTTATCTGAAACGAATAGGTTGATTTGTAATAATATTCAGTTTTGAAGGGTACTCTTTTCTTAGAACTTGGGATGACATCATAATTCTCAGTAGAAGCGATGGAGGTATTCACAACTTTTCTAATTGAGGCTCAGGTGCGAACTTGTGAAAGCAACTCAAAGTTTTGCATCTATTTTTGTGATAGGTTTTTAAGATAGAGACAGGAGTCGCTTAAATCATCAGTAATCGCGCATCTTAGAAATTGCATAGTAGTCCCTCAAATTCTCTAGTCTTGCAAAATAGTCCAACTGTTAGTACTTCAATTAAAAAAGCTAACTTGGCTGGGTTAACTCATCACTCAACATGTATAATTACCAATCTACCCCTATCTCTCTCTCATGTTTCAAGGCATTGTGAAACATAAACTGGGTTAGGGTTTTTTTCTAATCAGTAAAGATTATGGGTTTGGGTTTTTTTAAGCTGAGATTGGGTTCAAACCCATTAAAACATGTCTTGGTGACATAATAGAGGGATAATATGTCATTTTGCCATGAATTAGATTTGATGAAATCTTGCTATCAAGTCTAAGGCGATTTAACTTGAAGGGACGAATTTGCAAGACCCTATAAAATTCGAGAGACTCGCATGCAATTTTCGTGATTTGAGAACTAATATGCAATTATGTAAGATTTGACTTGAAGGGGCTGGTATCTAGAAAGCCGAACGGGGTGACACTAGGGGCACACTCCTAACCACACCTCCAACCACACCCCCTCTCTCATTTACTACAGTACACCGGGCCTCACATGGGATTTTAAATTTTTAAAATCACATATGAGCCCGGTGTACTGTAGCAAATGAGAGACGGGGTGTGGTTGGAGGTGTGGTTGGGGGTGTGCCCCTATCATTTTCCAGCCGAACGAGCATCGAGCTATTGACATGTAAACAACCTGGGGAAAAAAAGGGTGAAACTTTATATTATCTCACAGTGATTAATCTTCTGAAAAGAAAAGAAAAGAAAACAATATTATTGGCGGGTTTTGAGCTCCTCACGAGGCCGTAAGTTTCCAAAGCGGATTCGGGTGTGAACCAAACCTTACCTTTAACAAATTCGATTCGATCATAAAAACGGACCTCTATCACTATTTGCTAGATTTTATAAAACTTTGGATCCCGTAACCCAGGAGAGAGGAGAGGAGGGGATTTTACGCAGAGCAGCGAGTCTTGGGATCCCGCCCATGGGCTCCTTCTTCAAGCCATGGGCTTTTACGAAAGGCAAAGCCTCCGAAGGAGCAGCAAGCGAGAATCAAAAAGCAAAGAGAGAGGAGGGTGATGAAGCGTATCTTGAAGAATTTGGGGTGACCGAGCAGCTGCTTGATTATGTCAAGGGGTTCACTATCAACGCCTTTAAAGATTACCCACTTCAAGGTTGTCGTTCCCCACTAATTTCGTAGATTTTTTTGGGAATTTCCTTTTTTTTTAAATTACAGAAATATATTTTATTTTTGGAAAAAAAATGATGGGTCTTTTTTCAGATGACGAGAAGGGGCAACAGATTGATGGGTGTGCTTCGAATGTCAGCAAAGATCTCACTGAGTGGCAGGAGCGACATGCTACGCTTGTTCTCTCTAAAGCCAAGGTATCAAACATCTCCCATTTTCTTTATGTTTTCATTCTTTTCTTTTCTTTTAGTTTCTATTTTCAGGCTTTCTGAAGTCTGAAACTTAAATTAAAAACAGCATGTTTTTGACACTTGATAATTTGTGATGTTAGCTGAGATGCATCTCATTCCTTTGTATTGAGGAGGTCCATTTACTTGTAACCTTTGTCTTATCATGTTGCCTACTTAATTCTTGGCCGGTGAAATTTTGAAAGGGGTATATGAAGCAATAAGCATGTCTTCCAACCATGGTCATNCAAAATTCTCCTATAGGAATGGAGTCTCATTTGTACATTCTAGAGATTTCTGGGTAAAACTCTGCATCAATTAATAGGATGTTGTAATTTCTGACTGAAGTTCAGAACGTGCACTGTGCCTCCAATTCACCACCACTATCCCCATGGAACCTTAAAGTCTTTCCATTGCGATCATGATCCTCACAAACCTGTTCTCTCTTTACATTCCGTTGCTATTCTAATTCATTTCGGAGCCCTGGTTCTTTCATTTATTAGGCAATTTGAGGACGCTGTTCGGGGTACAACATTTGATAGTGGTGCAGTCTAGTTGTGATTAATTGAATTGCTAATTCTAACTTTATGTTGTCGCCCAATTCTGGGATTGCACTTCAGTAGTTGTTATGGTATTACTATCTTTTTCAAAACATGATATGCATAAAAGTGGCAATTCACATGAAACATATATTTTTTGACATATGAGTTGAATATTTTTTACGTTAAGATGCTTGGCTATATTAGGTTAATACTCCTGTCAGACAATTTCTGTAGGATATGTTACTACGTTATTGGATTTAATTTTAATCATTTTTCTTCCAGGAAATTGCGCAACTTAGATATGTTCTTTGCCCACGTCATCTAAAGGAGAGGCAGTTCTGGAGAATATACTTCCTACTTGTTAAGACTTACACATCTCCGTAAGTTCAGCGTTACCAATTATGCCTTCTAATACTATTTATTTAGTTTGAACCTTTGGTAGGGTACTCGTCAATCAAGTTTACAAGCTCCAAATTTGGCCTTTGATATGTACTCATGAGTTTTAATACTGATCATGTTGTTTTCAGTACAAGGTCCTAAGACTCCTAACCTACCATAATTATGTGCAATTTCCATTACAAATATTCTCTTCATATCAGCAATCTGAAGGAAATTGAATATCAGTGAAGAAGCACTCGCAATAAGTGCTCTGCAATTGACGTGGAAGACATAATTGGGCTTTCTTTGGTGGTCCTGTATTTCAGACTTGGCTCGAGCATAATATGTTCATTGTGGGCCTGAATAATTTCATGTTACTCCCTTCTTAAGGATTCTTCTTACTTTTGGAAACTTTTAGATAGGATTAGGATACATAGTTTTTCCATGAAGGATAAGAATCAGACTATTAGAGATAAACAATATATTAGTGTAACAAATTCTGCTGGCCAAATAGAAGGGTTCCATAGTAAACCCTTTGAGGAGGGATCCCGTGATGCTAAGAATTCTATGTTGATAAGTACATATCTCGCGATGCTAAGAATTCTATGTTGATAGGATGCATAGTTTTTCCATGAAGGATAAGAACTACACTACTAGAGATAAACAATATATCAAAATAACAAAGTCTGCTGGCCAAATGGAAGGGTTCCATAGTAAACCCTTTTATGAGGAATCCAATGATGCTAAGGATTGTATGTTGATAAGTACATATCTTGCGACTTATTATTCTTCTAGGGAGATTTGGGATATCTTGCATGATGGTGAAATTTAGAATATGTGGGTTGTGTCATACATATCAATAAGCTACACGATTAGATCAACTAATTTGGATGGATAATTTCAAGCTGTAAGATGATGTTGATGATTATTGTTGGATATAACTTTTGTTTCTTATACACATCATTTCTGACTGTCCATCTATACTCAACTATTTTGCTTGACAAAAGTCATTTAAAGAAAAGAAGAGGAAATGAAAAAAATAGTACCATACACGTACAATAATGCTTGAGGAAAAACTTGGAAACTCATCCTCACAAGTTACAGACAGTTTAATAGTTTTTCAATTTCTACCTCTGCAATTTTTCAGCTTAAAGTAAAATGATGCATGTATATTTGAAAGTTTACTCTGTTTTCTGCTCGTCAGATATGAAATACGTGCCTTGACAAAAGCCAAGCTTAGAATGTTGGAGATACAGAACGAAAAATCAATAGATAAGGCTGCCATTGAAGTGGAGATGACTGACACTAAGCTGGGCAGTGATTCATCTATTACTTTGCAATGCAACTCGGAACAACTTGCAGATGAATTATAAGAGTAGATGAAGGGATAGGTACTTAACCCTCCTTTTAATTTTCTAATTTTATTCATATGCTGATCTTGCAATTATCTCTGTTAGCTCTCCTTACTGAAACAAAGCTTCCAACTGCACGTGTATGTTGCCCTTCGGGTTGGAATTGAGATAAAATGGCATTGGGATATCGAGCTTGGATTCCATATGCATGGTGCCACCAGTGTCAATTATATAAGTACTCATCAATACTAACCACGCTATAACATGTAAAAAATAACTCGTTAGCATAAAGTGTTCTGGTCTTCTTCTGGTTTGTCAGTAGAAGTACTAAAAATCATAAATTCTATATGTAATGCAGATTTAATCTAATAAAGTTGCATATAAAATTTTGTTATCCAAAATTTTAAACATGTAAAAAATAACTCATTAGCATAAAGTGTTCTGGTCTTCTTCTGGTTTGTCAGGAGAAGTACTAAAAATCTTAAATTCTATATGTAAAGCAGATTTAATCTAATAAAGTTGCATATAAAATTAAAAAAATAGAATAAAACTGATACAAATATTTTTTGTTTGTTCTGTTTTGATTTGTTTTTGTTTTGATTTGTTTTGGCTTTTTTTTGGTTATCCACAATTTTAAATATGTTTGTCAAAGAAAAAATATGACCATCTCATGGCTAGTTACTTCTTTGTGTTAGAGCCTAGAGGGGGTGATTAGGATCTTATGCTAATCTAATCTGATTTTATGCCAATTAAAACTAATTAACAAGTTATCCTAGCAAGTATGAAATACAAGATATACGAGCTAGGATAAGTAAAATGAACAATGATATATATCCTATATGATAAAAATATATGCAAGGATATATAAACTAACACAAGGGTGAAATAAACATAAACAAGATAGTGGATGAAATAAAATAAACAATGCACAATTGGCGATATAAGATAAATGCAAAAGCAAATTCGCCAATGACAAACTCAAACACACTCAAATGATCACGGAGTTCAGACCTTCCGTCCTACGTCTCCGCTCTGATATCCTCGAGTGCCTTTTGGCAGGCATCATCCCAAATAAATGATACACCCTTCTTGTTTAGCTTAGAAAAATGTTGACACTTCCCAGAGAGATTTGAGATGAATCGCCTGATGTAAGCTAAACGCCCTTGCAATCCTCTAAAGCCGAAACTTCTACACACTCGGTTTTCTAGCTAACCGAAAACTCTACAACTCACACTCTTGCAAACCTACTCCACACCCTCACAAGTGTTGGACCTAGCCGTGTCTCCCTCAAGTGTTCGGTTACAACCTCTCCCTAGATTCGTCAACCGACGCCACTCCTCTTGGGACGATCCCCGACTCTCACCACATACTTCTCTCGGTGTACAAGTGTATTACAAAGTGATCTCACGATAAAACACAATACAAAGAATGATTGTTCTCTAATATGGATGAGAACATAATAAAAACTCACACTCAATTGTTACAACTCTCACCAACCCAAATATACTATGTATGAAAATACAATAAGCTCAAGTGGGTGTGTGTAAATAATGAGTAAAATCAAATCTAACTCAATTAAAGTCTAGCATATAGGAATTATGAACAAAAACGATAAATAGCTAGAAATAGACTTTAGGAATTCTTCTCTGAAAATCAAGTTGGAGAGGAGGATTAAGATAAAGTTCAAACACTGTAGATGATCTTCTTCACTTGTAAAACAATCTTTACAAACCAAACAGACTTTGAACCCAACTAAAACTCTTTTCAAAAACTCTTTTAAACTTCTTTAAAACTATCCATTGGGTTACTGAGATAGAAGGGGGTTTGAGGGTTTATATAGGAAGAGAAACAACAGCAAAAACCCCAAACCAAAACAACAAAAATCCCAGAAAATCAGAAATACGATTCTGTACCCAATATAGCCGTTGGGTTATCGACGGTCGACCGTGAAATTCTCGCGGTCGATCGTGAGGCACTACAGAATCTCAAAAAACTTCCAGAGACTTTGGCGGTCGACCGTGGCGGTTGACCGTGAGAAAATTTGAGCTGACGGTCGACCGTGGCGGTCGACCGTGAGAGTCTCTGCTGCCTACTCAGAAAAGAACACAAGCGCGGTCGACCGTGGCGGTCGACCGTGAACTGATACAAGAAATCAGGTTTTGAAAGTTGTTTTTTGATCTTAAAACACTGTTTAAAAATATCAAATAAATTCTAAAAAATGTAAAACTTTGGGGAATGATTGTAGACTTGATAATAAACATGCTATAACGACTGGTTTTCAAAAAAGACTTCCCAAATAAAAAATATCATCATTTTACAAAATAGACCAAAACATGAAAATGTAAACATGTGAATTTTAACATTTTGGCTAAACCATGTTTTGAAACTTTACACAATGATTATGTAGACTTAATAAAATATGTATATGATTATTGTTAAGTCCAAAAACTAAGAATACAATATTTTTACAAATACAATAGAAAATGAAACATATGAGTATGTATATGAAAATATATTTGTTTCATATCTAAGTAGTTAAACCAAAACACCCTAATAAATATGAAATATGTAATTTCATATTTGTAAACATGAAAACCCAAAACCATGCATGTATATATATAACTATATATATACGTAGAAACCAAATACGTGTGTGTATATGATATTGAGCTTAAGTTACTTAACACACATAATATAAAAGCTAAACTAAGTTACCCAAGCTAGATCTTGATCTTCAATAAGCTCGACTTGGTACACTTGCGGATGAAGCTTGAACTTGGATCTTGAACTTGAATTGTACATAGCTTCACCTACTATTCCGCTAACCTCCATTAGATATTATCGTTGAAGCTCTATTCCATCCATCCTCCAACACGTTATTTGTCTATAATAAATAGAAATATACCAACACTAGACAAACAACATTAGATGTAAATTGTTTGTTAAATCATTATCAAAATAAGAAGGCCAATAATCTCTTCCTTTTTGATGATGACAAACAATTTATAAAAAGTATATATGTATGAAAGGAAATGAATATATAAATTATAATTCACATGCATATAAACAAGAAAGAATACACTCACAATATTATATTTTTCCCTCTTTGACAACATCAAAAAGGGGACAAATGTATGAAGAGAGCAAAAGCTCCCCCTATCAATATGTATGGGTGAGTATAACACATAGAAAGATATAGGGATTGCTCCCCCTATCAAAATGCCTCATGAATGTATGAAATGAAGATCATGGCAAATATGTGAGCAAGCATAAAAAATTTGCTAAATATCACTCACATACAAGAGGATAATGAGAACACATATAAATATATCAATATGAAAAAGTGTCTCAAAGCATTAGTTTTTAAAACAAAACCTAAGCAAGAAGATTTATGAAATCAAAAGAGATAAAACATGAGAATCATGTAAAAAGAGTTTTCAAATGAAAACAAATCAATCAAATAAAATCATAAATCACAAGTAAATCATATAAAAACATAAAACCAAACCATCATTGATTTTCAAAAATCAAGAGAGGCAACTATATCTAGCTCTTGAGCTAGTATCAACCCATATCAACATTTTAGCATCCGGTAAACGAGATTTGGGAATAAATACCCAATAAACCCGGAGGGTATATAACTACAAACCTCTCATTTAAAATCAAAACTAATAATCATGAAAACAAAAGATTTGATCAGTTAAAAATTGTTTTCATATAAAAAGATTTCAAAGCATAATTTTCAAAACCAAGATAAAGAAAAATAAAAACACTAAAATTCTTGGTTTAAAATCAAATTTGTTTTGGTATCCAAGTAATCTTGGTACCAAAAGGTTTAGGGACATGACCCCTATCATTTAAGCTCAAAGTCTTAGGGTTATGAACCCTTTTAGGCGCATATGATGCACTAGCACGGTCAAAAAAAAATTATACTCATGACATTTCCGATTGCAATAGGTGCAATGAAGAGGGTTAAATGATTTGTGTTGACCAAGTGGGCGTGCACGATAATCATTTGCAAATAAAGATTTTTTTTAAAATTATTTCGCAAATGAGAAACATTATTAAACAAAGATGGTTTCTTTGGAGCATTTTGCAAAATAGAAACTTTTTGCACATCAAAACAAAATTTAGCAAGATGTCCAAACCTACCACAAACATCACATTTAAAAACATGTGGTCTACTAGAAACATTTGGCAAATGAGATTTATTTTTTAAATCAAAATAATATTCGGCCAAATGATCAAAACGACCACAATGATCACACTTGAACACACTAGCATGCTTATGATGAACAATGGGTGTATATGTGTGTACATGTGATGAAGAAGCTACATGAGATGCACAAGGAGCATTGACATTTTTATGTTTGTGTGCATCATAGCAAAATTTAGCTAGATGGCCTTTACGGTCGCAAATAGAGCACTTGTAAACTTTGCTATATATGTGTGCATGATGAGTGGATGATTTCTTAGATTTGGCACACATATCCATAAGCCTCTTATGATTATTAATGCATGTTTTTAAAGTTGAATCTAAAGATGAAATGTATTTATTCATAAGATTCAAATCTTCATTTTTAGGCACATATGCATTAGAAGTAGAACATAAATAGTTATTTATAAAGGAAGTAATATCATTTTGTATGTTCTCTACTTCTATCATTGCATTATTTTTGTCATGAGTCAAGTTAGCAATATCCAATTTTAAATTATTATTTTCCAAATTTAACATATCAATGTTTTCTTGAAGAGCAATACTTTCTTGAGAAATGATATCAAATTTGGAAGCTAACTTCTCATGATCGGATTTTAAATCTTCATGCTTGCTTTTTAAATCAATAAAATCATTTTGTAATTTCTTGTAGGCATGTAATAATCTTTCACTAGCACAAGCGAGTTCATCATTAGGTAAATCATTAATAGATTCGAACTCGCAAACCTCACTAAGGCTATCGCCTAGTACGCGTGTGCATGACGCTTCATATGAACTTGAAGCGGGATCCTCCAAAGCTTGTCGGATCGTCTCCAAATCCCCT